AAATGATGGAAATAAATCAAAAATATGATATCAAAATTATCAATTTATTGTTCTTTAATGGAACCAAATTACCCTCAGTCATGTACACTTTGGACATCATTCCACAGTCCGCTAACTCACAGTATATTTATAATTACATGTCAGGTACATATGTGACCAGAGGCTATCGCATGGTATGCCGTTCTCACGTGCTCTAGCTCACACATGCATTTCATAGGTATCTTAATATTTTACAAAACATTATTTTCACAGAGTAAGTAGACTACATTTGTAAACACGATTTAATCGACAAAGCAAAACTCCCTCAACAGCGAAAATCGTAACGACCTCGAGCTTATGAACTTGTGTAAGCACGTGATATGCACATGTGAGGTTGGTACGTCGATCCGCATTCCATGTGTTTCCTATATGACCTTCTTTAGGTCGTCTGGTCTCATGTCACTGTCTTCCCGTGAGTCTGTTTATGTCTATGAATTGGAAAGCTTTATTCCTGAAGTACGTGTGATTTTTTATGCGAAACAACCAGTTTGACCGTTTATTAATGTAACAACTTCGGGTATAAATCCTGGCGGACCTGCAAATGTGTATGCAGGCCTTGCAAGACTTTCTCAAGGCTCGCCTGAAAGCAGCATCAGATGACAAGGTCCGGCCTTATTTAATAAACGAACAACAGTGGTCCGATCGGTTTGACCGTTTAAATGGAAAAAGGCCCAGGTGTTACTATAATTTGCACTACAATATTGACTGCCGATACGCAATACGGAAATGACGACACAGTGTACATGCACATTACGATCAAGATAATTGAGTCCGAGCTGTACTTTTTCCTGAAGTACGTCACGAAAATGGACACTGATGACGATGTGTGGAGCCTACAGATCTAGATGAGTCGGACAGACAACGGACCACGGATGCAGGGCGATTTGATATAGCTACAATATTTGTAGTAGAAATATTTTAGCGGTAAAACTGAAAACGCTTGATTACTACACCTTAGCAGAAATATTTCATAAGAGAATGAAACATTTATATGTGTGCTACATTCTATATATATACAATATGTGAATTGAATTCAGAACCAAATTTTGTATAAAGCACATTAAGATCACCTTCCAATCTAGCATGTTATCTATAAAGTAGAAGAAGCCAAACAATCATGTCACGAAAAGAATCCTAAACAGTTTTGAATGACTTGGCCAAGACGTTGTTGAAATGAGGACGGGAACGTCATTTCTCGTTTTATTAACTTCGTAAGCGACCCAAACTCGTCAGCTGATCACGTAGCCCACAGGGGTTTGATCGTTACAAATGTCTGAAATACACATATGCTATACTGATGTGTGTCACAGCACACATAAAAGTTCTGTGACCCATATCAGTATAGCATATGTGTATTTAAGACATTTGTAACGAACACCTGTGCACTAAGCGCGGGTTTCATCTGGCCCTAACACCAGACTAAGACATTTTGACATATATATATAGTCCAAGTCTGGTGTTAGGGCCAGAAGAAACTCTGGCTACTGATCACGATACGATACACGGGCTGTACACGACAACTACATAATATACGTGTTAGCTATATATAGCTATTTGCATGCAAACCCCCAGAGCATGCAAAAAATGTTACAATTGAAGTCGATTTTAAATAAGAGAAAGTAGCTTTATATAATAAGTGCGCAATAATTTTCATGGTGTACAAATTACAATGATCAAATGTTCCGACAAATTCTCACGCCACCAATAAATTAGGTCAGGGTTACTGCACTGCAGTTCTCCTTTCGTGATTGACCTATCAGCTTAATTCTCCTTTCTACTGGCGTGATTTGGTCATGATGTATTTATAAATTGACAGGTAGGATGCTCACGTTTCAGTCACAGGATGCAGTATTTTGAACGGTCGAAGAATGGCTGTAGTCTTGCGTATCTTTTTTAAGCAGACGACCATACTGCCCTGGTCCTTCTAGTTTGACATGCAGAAAGCACATGCAAATACAATCGACCAATCGTCGGAAAGTACTATCAAAAAGTAGACTGATTTGTTTACGTCTTATTTAATTTACGACATATATTTGCCTTTATAAATATTCTATATTGAAGTTTAAACAATAAAAATGAAATAGTTTCCATAAGTGTGTCTTTAATTATGTGTTATAGCTGAAACTAAGTTGAGATAATATTTAATTACATATGTCGCAAAACATTATAAATGGCCTATGACAGAATAGAATTTATTTTATAACAAAGACATATAAAATCATACGTCTATATATATTGTATATTACGTCTCTGTTTATAATAAAGACAAAACTATTTTCTATTGACTTACGTCAACCACGGAATTAGATTAGTCCGTGCGTCAACTGACCAGATTTACACATGTAAGCTTATATATATATATCATCTAATAACATAATATGTCATGTTGAAACGACCTGTAAATGTAAAAGAGTTGGACAGGGTTAATTGTGTTTTTTTTGTATATTTTTCTATAATTCTGTTTGTGTAATTATGTGACAATACGTTATGTTCAAAACAAACAATGATATACATATATATATATATTATATATATATATACATTATGAGTAGAGTCGAGATATTTTATTATAAATAGGGACCTATTATATTCAGTATATCTATTTCTTAATCCATATTTAATGTTATTTATGTTCTGATTAAATATGATTATCTACAGCACATTTGAAATCATGATCATAGATAAGATATATGATTATCGTTACATTGTTGATCAAAGTACAAATGTAACTTGCATTACGAATACGTTATTATCAACATGTCAAAGACTGGTGTTTTTATCATGATCGGAGACGTATATATTACATCTCTGTATACCAAACTAGATTGATTGGACCAGTAAAAATATGTTGTATATTTTGTGCCTTTTTTTTTTGGCAATTTTTAAAGAAGCACAAAATCACTCCCCTATATAATCTATTTTGATCTGGATATATATAGCCATTATGCCTGCATCCAATATTATCATTATTATATATAATCATGATCAGAGACGTATAAAGCGTAAATGTGTACGAGACTCTCTGATATAATTGAAGTTGTGAAAAATGTTGAATAAAAAAATCATGACCTAAGACTCACTCTATTTTTTCCCCTCAGACATGTAACACGAAACAATCTTTTTTTTTTTATAAAATATATATAAGTTATTTCATAACTGTATTTAAATAAACATGTATATATATAGTGGAACTGGCATTGGTAGAGCGCCCGTCTAGAGTTTGGAGGGTCCTAGGTTCGTAATTTTGCCAGTGCTCAAAGTTATTATTGGGCATGGCTTAATCGAATTGTTGGTGCCAAACATACATTTTTGATAGGCAAAATAGGTACAAAGAATGATTTTTTGGTTTAAAAAAAACCCCAACAATTTGCACATGTTTTAAAGGCTAGAATCGTCAAGTTATTTCCCTTGTTGCTATTCCGGATTCAACCAAACCGTCCATTGCTCCGTTGTTTATAATCTGTGACAGGTGCGAGGGACCTCGGAACCAAATCAATTAGTAGATGGACAAAAAAGTGACTTTTTAGACGACTGATACAATGGATAGACCGATAAGATATCAAGTTGTAAGTAAACAAAGGTCTAAGCTGATGTATGAAAGTCATATGAATTAGAAACTGGCGTCGTAGACGTCAGGGTTTGGTAACCAAACCGCCAGTCATTTGTCGCAGCTGTCAGAGCTGTCAGCCATGTTTTGCGATTGTTGTGAGTTGGTTTATATACGTCAATGTCTTGTTGTGCTTTGGTTATCAGTCGTCAAGAAGCAGGTTGATCTAAATTACACCAACAGCGGGTCATTACATACTGCATACTGAACTATGAACTGTAAACTTGTTTGAAAGCATTTCCATTTAGCATAGAATAGAAAATTATCGGACCTAAAGCTATAATGGGGTCAAAATACCCTAGAGATATGAGATTTGGAGAAAATACGGACTAGTATATAATTTTAATCCTTCAGTAAGCAATACATGGGGCCGAATACTTGAGGTGTAATAGACAGGGAAACAGGGGATGTGAGGATTGGGGTACTTAAACAATAAGTTCAGTCAAACTGTTCTCAGACGACTGCCTTCTGTACAGAACAATTCTGTAATTGACTCTGAGGAAGAGGGCCAGCATCTCCAGGATGACCTTTCAACGAACGGTGGAATGGTCAGACAAAGTGGCTGATGAGGTGTATATATATAAATACAAAGAAAGGCTTGGTGTAATATGAGGCACGATGGCACATCAAGGTCCATACCTGGGAGTGGAGCTGTCAAACGATCGCGACCTCATGATCAGCAGGATAACCAATAGACCTATTAATTGGCAACATAAGGTACAATGTAACTTGACAACTGGCATTCCTGGGGCTTCACCCAAAGAGTTGTAAACAAGAAGTAAAGGAGAAGGCCTACTTTTCACTAGTCGGGCCCTCCCTATGTATGCTACAACAGTCTGAGACATAGCTGCCCTTCAAGAAAAACCAGATTAACAAAGCTGAGATGGTTCAGAGAAGAGGAACATGTTTTACCTTTGGCTCATTCGCATACTCTAGGGATGAGAGTGTTAATTATATCCAAGCTCCACATGCACTCTCTACAGTGGTGCACCACAGCAGAGAAGACAGAGAATTGGCTTTATATTAATCAGTTCTAAAAAATGAATCCTCCCATCGCATGTGGAAAAACAGTTTAAAACATCAAGACTCTGTATGACTGGAACAAGCATTTAGTATTTAGTGTCTTGCTCAAGGACTCCAACCCGCAACCCTTCTGTCACGAGCCCGGCGTCCTACCACTAGGTTAAGTTGTGTCTCCATACTGATAATCTAATAGAAAGAGTATTTTCCCTGGTATCATACAGGAATGGTGGACCATCAGGGACTGTAGATCTAGAGCAGCAGACTGAAGTTTTTATAAAGACCTCACTCCATTATTAAGTCACCTAAACTATCCTATGATTGTAAATAGTATTAAACTTTTAACACAAAGTTTCTGTAAGTTACACCAGACTAGTTCACCCAGCAGTGAAAGATGATGACATACCTTCACAGTATTGCTGTTAATGTAATTTTGCCTGTTGATTTATACATATAAAGCGTTAACGGCTACAGGTTTGTGTTTTATTGCAACCCCCTACCCAAACATTTAAAATTAAAGACCACATCCATTTTCAGTAATCGTCAGATAACCTTCTTTTTTCTTGTCAAAATACAACATTACTGTCTTAATTCATCTTACACAAATGATTTTAAAGCTGTTAAGCTAGGTACTCATACAGTGTACAGAAAGAGACAAACAGACATACACATATGTCAATGTTTGAACATAAAAGTTATGACATTTGGACCCATTTTGTACTGCATTATGTCCAAATAATTATGTTCTGGGTCTTTGTGCTGGAAGAAACATGAATGTAGTTGGATTATAATATAATTGCACCTTTACATTTTGTACATGTGTATGATTTCCAGTTGACGAGTGAGGATGACGATGTACCCGCTCAGCCTCTAGCTGTGGCTATGGTGCTGCCCCCTGTTGAGCAACAGCCAGCACCACCTAGTGAGGAACCAGGTAGGTAAACTTTTTGATATTGGATCATTTGTAAACTGTAACAGATGATGGTATCATGGCTGATCAGTCACAAGGTGTTTTTCCAGACCAGGCCAAGTCCTTGCCTTTGGTGTGTATGGGACAGATCTAGAATGCACCTCAAATAGCATCCCCAATAATCCAGGGGTTACGCTCACCTACGCTCTCTGCACCGCTGGAATATGTCATAGCAAAATTGAAGACTCAATGTGTGTCACTTTGTTGGTGAGATGAGGACAAGTTTTATCCTTTGATGTACATCAAATTAAAATAATTTTATGGTCGCGAAACGGTAAAAATTGAAGTCGGGTGTCGCTCCTTTGTAATCTTCAAAAACAGGTATCAGCCTAGTGTTTAGTCAGGTTTTTCTCTTTACCTGAGACCAATTAAACAGCTATCTATGTGCCTTCAATTTTGCTTAAACATATTCCAGGGGTGCAGAGAGCGTACGTAGGTGAGCGTAAAACCTGGATTATCGAGAATGCTCAAATAGCGGCACGGTAATAAATTACACTGTCTACCATTACATTGAGGTAAACAGAGATGACAACCTTCAGTATTCACCTTTAAGAGTATGTATACATTGATTAAAAATCAATGAATGGTTAGTTAAATGAGTACAGTATTTACAATCCCTTGTTAGATTAACGTATATAAAACATGGCTATAATAACTAATGCACGCCTACATTTTTGCGTGTGGACTGCTTATCCCATCATTGAAAAGGTTTTGAAAAAAACCACCTTTTTGAAGGAAAGTATCTGTATTAGAATAATCTTTAGAAAACACTAGTACATATGAAAAGGTAAACTTTATAGTTGAAATGTGTATGCAATATTCCTGATTTTGATCATTTAATTACTATCATTTCATTACTTCGACCTAATGGCATGTGCATGTTTGCTGTTTCCTTAGCCCGAGTTTCCTCTGGACCCACACCAGACATCCATCTGTCAAAATGTCTTAAGTCTGGTGTCAGGGCCACGGGAAACTCGGGCTACTGTTTCCTGTGATCAGATGTTTATATTTTTTTCTGGTTGTTTATTTAATTAGAACATATGTATGGCACCAAGCTGCCGAGTTATGATGAGGCTACAACTCTACCTACATACGAGGAGGCAGAAAGGTCAAAGGCTGCAGAGGCGGAGCAACAACAGGATGTGGAGGGTCAGAACCAAGAGGTAAATACTGATGGGAAATTTTAGAAAAATTATGTTTATATTGTTTCACCCTATAATGATAAGGATTCTTGTTTGATTTGTGATAGTTTCCCACTGATTTTTGTAAGGGGTTTCTTTAGTTTTCTACTTTCGAGACATCGATGAGAAAATGGAAATTAATCTTCTACCCCTACTGCAACAGTTTGGGTCATCGTCTTTTCTCTCACATGCCTACATTATTTGTTGTTTTGGTATATTCACCTCTGGTAGGCCTATTGTTCGCTTGGTATAATGTGACTGGATGCAATGTCATGCACCCACATCCAGGTTTCATTACAATGAGTCTGCACTTAAAATGGTCCTGGACTGGCACCACAATCTTCGGACACCACCTTTATAAGAACTTTGACCTTAGCTGTTATGAGAACAGAAAACCCTGACCCCCCAAAAAAAACATAATAATATCATAAATAATTCTGACTCAATATTCATTATGTTTCAGGATATGGAACACAGCAGACATATGCTTAGAGTAACTTCCCTTGGAACAGATGGCATGTTTCTTTGCGCCTTCGTTGGTAAGCTCCATTTGAGGCTGCTTTTTGTTTTCATTAATCTGTGTTACAAGTTCCAATTTGTGGACAACCACCAAGGAGGCGTTCATAGTAATTACCAGGTATATGGAGGTGACACATGGAAGTGCAGGTCACAAGACAACTCCTGCAAACAAGTACTGATAATAGTCTCTTCGAGGTATCAAACTGATGTGACTGGCATGTAGATATTACTAAGTCTGAATAACCTGTTTATTTTAGTAAGTATATTAATTTTATCAATAAATAGACAGCAGAAATATATAACTGTAGATGTGTTGCAGTAATAAAAGCACATGTACAGCTAGCTCGGGTTACAGGTGCCTTTAAGTCCTCTAACATATTACTGCTATCACAGAAAATGTTATATACAATGTAGGATGAGTTGTGTGTGTGTGTGTGTGTACGACAAAGTTATGTGATAGAGCTTACCCAATTTTTAAGAAGTATCTCCTAGAAAATACCAGGAGATGTACTACAAATAATTCAATGAACTTGGTTACCAAATAGTAAAGTTATCGATCAGCCAAAACACTGATGTGTTTCTTTTCCCTGCTAAAAGATATTAAACTATCAATATTATCAAATTAATAAAGCGTGATTTGAAAATTACGTGGATTTTATGTTATGCTTATTCTCTGTTGTGCATTTCGTTACAAAGTTAGATAATTGGGCACTTAATTATGTTCTGACTTCAGAGCTCATCTTTGTGACATTATTTTATAATAATTATGTGATAATTATCAATACTTCAAATCGAAGAAACAGATAATCTATGTTTTTGGTACTAAAATACATCAAACATATTTGAAAGTTGTAGTACATCATTAATTTGTTAAATACAAAGTTCTTTTGCAACTGTCAGAATTGGGTTTTCTTCCATAGCTAAAGTATCGCAATAGTCAAACTTATCAGTGTCCAAGGTAACAAAATGTGATTTCAATTGTTGACTGTTTAAATATTTTTGTGGAATGATTGTACGTACATGTGTTAATTTTTTCGATGTTTTTTTCCAGTTGCATTCTTTTTTAACTGGATCGGGTTCCTTTTCTCCATTTGTGTGTTCACCACGATCGCTGGAAGATGTGGTGCCCTGTCTGGGCTCGGTCTTTCCATCGTCAAGTGGGTCGCCATCGTCAAGGTAACCAGACAATATATTCTACACCCTCTATAAGGGGCCACAGTGGCCAAGTGGTTAAGGCGTCTGACATTCTGCTACCACTAGCCCCCCACCACTGGGTCGCGGGTTCAAGGCCTACATGGGACAGTCGCCAGGTACTGGTCGTAGGTTGGTGGTTTTTCTCCGGGAACTCCGGCTTTCCTCCACCACCAAAACCTGGCACGTCCTTAAATGACCCTAGCTGTTAATAGGATGTAAAACACAAACAACCCAAACCAAACATCCTCTAACGTAAAAAAAAATCCTTATTAAAATAACAAAAACTTAAGTTGAGTGAAAATCAAATGATCTATATTTACAGGTAATCATTTTTGGGGGGTGACTGTCTTACAAACTTCAAATGGTAGGCATGTAATGACATGTTACAGCTTATGTTAATCACGGCATCATTCATAGGTTGTAGGTTTTATCACTAAAATATTTCACGTAAAGTAGACAACATATCAGCCGTTCTGTGTAAATGTAAAGGTGTCTATAAATGTTAATCTATATAAGCTATTATGACAGCTAATTAATCTAGATAACTTTGTAATGTGACTTTGGAATGACTCTTATTCTATTTTCAGCAAAACGACTGGGCTTCTGGCTATGCTGACAGCGACTCCTGGGTGTGGTGGCTTCTAATACTTTGTGGTATGTCAAACTTATGTATTATTATCTCTCTAAGTATCGCCCTCAGTAGTAACATCAATATGACAGTTTTGGGGAAGAGTGTCTATATTCCTACTCAGTGGATGTTGTACGTGTGTCAGTCACCCTGGTAAAATACTAGCCACTGTCTACCAACTCGGCTAAGGATGGTCGGTCGGTGCAGTGTATAGTGTATAGTGTATAGTGCACTTGCGCACTTGCCTTTCACCAATGCGACCAGACTTTGATTCCCCGATCGGACGTGAAAATGTATAGGGTCACCTGCCCGACCACATGGGCTTTTCCCGGGTACTCGGGTTTCCTCCCACATTAAGACCCTACGCGCGCTCACATACAGGCAAACAAGATTGATTGTCCTTGCTCTCAAAAACATCCGTGTTACCCCTAAAGACACCCAGAACTTCTATCTTGGAGGGAGAATATGCCACTCCGGTTAAATACTAGAAGTTTCCTACTGTCAGACATCGCAAGTGAGACTTTTTCTTTAATTGGCTGTTAGGCATAGGTAGAGGGACATACTAGTAAATTAGAGGTCCCAGGTTTGACCTCGAGCTCATGAGGCAATGAAATGTTAATGAATGAATTTTTGAGATGGAGACAAAATTAGGGAGGGGGCTTAATTGCAGGCACCCACCCTGTTCCCAGGACATTTACCAAAGTGGGGAGGGGGCTTATTTGCGGTCAAATACGGTAATACAGCTGTGTTTATACAACAATATATGTTTTATATGACATTGTATGTGTATATAGACTCATTAAAGACAATTTATACTTGGGAACTAATTGAGTAGAGTTATAAATGTAAAGCCAAACAATTTTTTTATACATCGATTAAGATTTTTGCACATACGAGATAAATGTATGCGGCAAAAAAAGGCTGTTACACAGATTTTTAAAGAAGTAATCATTAAATCTTAAATCTATTTTATTATCGATTGTTGTATATATATCTGTAATTATTATGTTTTTCTTTTCCAGGTTTCATGATCTTCTTGAGAGGTGCAATACATTACGCCAAGATAAAGTACGAGTGGAATCGTCTAGCTCATAACATTCGCTCCCAGTATTTCTTCACACTGTGAGTTGAGATGTCTTGCTGGACACATCAGTACTGGGAACTACAAACAGAGGTGGTGAATGACATTGGTTCATTATTGGAACTCTTGGTGAAGCGTCATCACCTGATTGATTTATTTTAATCGTGAATGTAAAATAAATTTCATATTCATTGTACCAGTTTAGGAAACCCTCAAGAATGTGATTAGTGCAGGATTCATTGATTTCAGTAGAGATACTTGAGCATTCTTATAGAAAAAAAGTCTACGAAAGCAGAATATCTTTAGTCATGTTTAGTATATAGAGAGCATGCTGTCTGTACTGTTTCTGATTGAGACAGGATATGATCACCAAAACATGAATTTAATCTGTAACAGTTTTGTAATTATCTGGAAAAATGAAATGTATACAAAAGAATTATTCAACTCAAGTCTCGTTACTGACTGATCTGTCTGTCAGAGAAAGAATGGAAACTACTTGTGTGAGTTTGAAGAGATATACTAGTCATCTTAATCAAGAGGGATACACATGTCATCGGAGTTAACATGGATATACGACACATCTGATTTAAGAGGGATATATATACAAAACTTCAGAGTTAGGAGAGATGTATAACTCATCGGAGTTAACCCTTTCATCACTGTAGATCATAATGGACTTATCCAGATCAATGCATGGAAGAGTTTACTAAAGTTACATAGGGGTGAAAGGGTTAAAAGGAAACATATATATACAGAACATCAGAGTTAGGATATATATATATATATATATATATAACTCATCTTAGTTATGAGGGATATACATATACAAAACAGAGTTAGAAGAGATATATAACTCATCTGAATAAGGAGGGATATATATACAAAACATTGGAGTTAGGAGAGATATTTAACTCATCTGAGTTAAGAGGGATATATATATATACAAAACAGAGTTAGAAGAGATATATAAGTTAAACGGGATATATAAATCATTTGACATAAGAGGGATTTACAACACATCAGAGTTAGAAGGGATATAGATAACTCTTCTGCTTAAGGAAGGTTACACAACACATTTGAGTTCAGAGTGATATATACAACTCATCCATGGTACAGTTAACACATTTTTACTGTCAAAACTTACTATTGTACATAAGGTAACGGGAACATTTTATTTGCCAATCTTATATATAGAAGAAAAAATGTCACAAGAATTTGAATTGTTTAAGTAACATCCATGTGTGGTAATGAAGTAAGTAGACAGCTTTGAGGAAATGAGAATATGGGAGGGTACACGTATACAATCTAGAACATGTATGGTGATTAAGAGTTTAGGATCTTTGTATAGACAGCATTCAATTATAATGCATTCAATTTTGTATTTTAATACATGTGTTGTTTTGTTGTCTACTGTCCCATGCAAATACAAAGTCAATTCTATTCACCATTTACATATATATATATATATATGTCTTCAGAAATTTTACTAGATCCTTCTGTATTCATGTACTTCATTTATTTAATAATAATATTTACTCTGGGTTTTCTAGTAAACGTTGTCAGTTCCGTTGAGCTGCTTAATTTCTGAGATGCCAATACACTACTTGTATGCCCCNAAATTCTGTAGTAAAATGTACCAAGTGCTGAAGACATGTTCTCCTCTGGTGCTCATCTTGCATGTGACAATGTGCCTGTCTTCGATAGGTTGTCTTCCAACTGGGTCAGTCTGCATACCTCATCTGCTTCGACCTAGATAGCTCAAACCCCTCACAACCTTCATAGCATATAGCTAAAACGATCTTCACTCTTTCACTAGAGCTGCTTTTGTTTTATCACGTTCCAAACAGTACAACTGTTGGACCAAAGTTACTCTTATGTAATAGAGACAGACCTAGCGATCTGATGTTTTTTCTGGCAAGTCTTAATGAAAAGTTCTAAGACATATATACACTATATGTATTAACAAAATCTAACACAGATTTGCAGGACTGCCAGGTTGTATCCCCGTGAAAGAAGAAATCGTGTCTGTATAAGTAAAGAGCATTATGTCTCAACTTTTCTGGCACAATTAGGAATTGTTTGACTTCTTCTTTCGTGAGTCTAGGGTAAGATGTTTAATGCTCAACTTGAAATGAGTAGAATTACATACTTATGATTACAATTGTACGGAGCGTTTGTAATTTTGTTCAGTGACCTTTTATGTGTATTTCTGGAGGTTGTATTTTTTTCAGGACACTTCAAAGGATGTACATATTTTATTTAAACACAACCAAATCAAGATTTATTAAAATGCTTTAGTAGGAATTGTTTTGAAATTGATTTTATGAACTATTTAATGCTGTTGAGCAGTATTTTTAAGTATCCTCTTTCAGAGCTATGGTCCTCTTTTTGTCTTTCAGTGTGATGTGAGAAATATGTAATGATATTTAACTATTGTGGTCGCTCTAGTTTTACAGATATAACTAACTGTGAGTAAAACGTTTATATCTATTTAGATGTTTCCATCAAGTGCATATATTATACTCCCAGTAGCGTATACATGTCTGTAGCAACAAATTCTTCCATGGTATGGAATAAAAAATAAATAGATTTTATCATCACCAATTTTGTCAGTGTTTTATTTACTCATTAGGCCCAAAGTATCGCATGAGCAGAGGTGTAAAAATCCACTTGTCTGACATCAAAGTCTTGTGTGCAAGGGTGCATCGCCTGATGTTGTCTTTTTGTAAGCGTATGTACTCTGTAGTGGGCCAGTTCTGAATCGAGATGAGGGGGCTCATAGGCTCGAACATCTATGATCAAGTATGAAACAAAGCGTAGCTGAATTGAGCCATTTCGGTACATATATAACAACTTATTGTGCATACCCTTACAGCGTAAGTGTAGCCATATTGACATTGATTTGTGGACAAGTCGTTCATAGTTTACACCTTTGTGTACATACGCTTCCCTGGTCATTTGTCTGATGAAGGTGACATACCATACTAGTAATAGAAACATCATATATAAACACTTTTTGGTTGTGCTACATGAATCTTTTCACAATCCATACTAACCAACCTGAAGAAAATGTTTAGAAATATGAATGCATCTAGATGCTGGCCACACTTACGTCTGAAAAATATCAAACCTTACATCCATGACCCTAAAACTGAAACTAATTTTAGTTAATTTTGCACAGAATACTTGCATCAGTACCACAATAAAAAATCTATTTATAGCAATATTGATTTTTGCTATAGATCTGTTACCTTGAAATGCAATTATTTGTGGCCAGAATGTATAAAGTTTCATCTATACTAAAGGAAATGGAAGCCTAAAGAAAGATTTAGATTACTAGTATCTATTTTTAGTAACAGCAACCTTGACCTTTAGATACGAAACCCTGACATGTGAACTCATCTGAGGTGCATTTGTTCTGTAATAATACCCTATCTAAAGGCTTCATTAATTCAGAGACCAATATAACATAGATATCTACGCTTCTGTGTGACAAAGTCAAACAACAGAAATAACACCAGGTATATACATGTATTTTATCTCAAACAAGAGGCCCAAGGGCCTTAGCGGTCACCCAAGTTATATCATAGGTACAGGTAGATTTATTTTATTTTTCAGATATGTTTATGAAATCAGTATGTACACTAAGTGAAATACAATATTTGTCATGTCATCAAAGGAAAATAATTTTTTTAAAAATCCCTTTGGGGCCCCACCCTAACCCCTGGGGATGGGGTAGGAATCCCAACTTCACTATGTAATACCCTCATCAACCATAGATGATTCAGACCAAGTTTGAATAATTTTCTGCTGAAAATGGATAAAATATACCCAAAAGTGTCATTTCCCTATATAAACTATAGTAAACTTTACCCCCTCCCCAAGGGAGAACGGATGGCCCAAGGGTCCTGTAATTTACAATTTAAATAAAGTGCCTGATGATCTTTCCATCCATGCAGAGAAAATGACTAGTACCTCTGAGTCCGTAGAAGATTTTTGAAATATTGGTTAATTTTCCCTTTGGGGCCCCACCCTGGCCCCTGGGGTTTGGGGTAGGAATACCAATTTTACAAGGTTGTAGCCTCATCTTTCAAGGATGATTCTGACAAAGTTTGAAAAAATCCCATCCACAGGTTCTTGAGAAGAAGTCGAAAATGCTAATACATCACCATCCTAGATTCTCAAGGGGTTTATGCTCACTTACATTCTCTCCACCCATAGAACATGTCATTACAAAATTGAAGGCATGTGGCTACCTATTTTATTGGTCTCTGTAAAAAAACCTGACCAAAGGCTAGGCTGATACCTGTCCTTTGAAGATTACAGAAGAGCTACACCCGACATCGAAGACAGTAAATTTTCACTTGCGTGACCACGAGATTCTTTTGATGTACATCAAAGGATCGAACTAGTCTTCTTGTCTCATCCACAAGGTAGGGCACACTTTACCTTCGATTTTGTCAGGACATATTCCAGGGGTGTAGAGAGTGTAACCCAAGGAGTATTGAGGATAATACAACACAAACATCAACAGGTTGTTAAAATATCATTTATTCATTCAAAATCAAAATTTAATGACATCGTTTCTTATGTCTTACATTTATGTATACATTACTTGGTCATGTATATCACATTTCTGTTAACAAATATTGCCAAAATAACAAGGAAAATACTGAATCAACAAAAACATAATTTGAGGACGCGTACTGACAACAAAACCACAATAATGAATATAATGAATAGCTGATTTCCCAACCCGATCATGATAGGGGACCATACACTTGCCCAGTGTCAACTTCAACTGCATCTTTCGCAACACTGTGTTGTAAGTTTGACCTCTAGGAGTCAACATCTACCACGGAAATCAGGATATTTGGAGTAAGCTCATGAATATCAAATCAACCTTGACCAGTAAATAAGTTACTACGATATATGTATTAATGGTATGTATATACATATGCTATCACAGTCATTTTAAAGTAAGATCAAGGAAGCAGCTGATGAAGAAGTGTCGAGTTCAGGAGGTCGGTATGAACATTTAAAGCTATTAATGTTAGATCGTACAGTGAGTACATACATTCAATTACCAACTTTTGAAAAATTGAACTTGGACTTATTACCTAAGAGCTGTATATAGCAAAGTCACAAAATATTGCGTTTCATTAATGTCTGATTCCATTTGGTTATTATCACACAAGATACTGGAAATTAAACTCCATGTAGATGAGGAATCTATTTGAAGGAATCATCCGTGAAAATAAGATAAAAAAAAATTCTCAACAGCACCATTAGGAATCAGAATAATTCAGAATGTTATATTTATCATTTATTGTTCTTTTTCCCAGATTTTGAGCGCTGTGAAGTCAAATCACTTAATTTTTTGTCGAGCTTCCGGTGGAGAGCAGCCTGGCGTTTTGGATCTGGAGGTGCTGGCTTGGTAGTGCTACTACGATACAGCACACCCTCTTTGATGTGAGTGGAACGCGCGTGCGCCTTAGCTACCTCTCCACACCCATGGATCTCCGGGATATGATGGGACAGACAAAAGCGTCTCATACAGAACTCACAGTTTTGACCCAAGGTCTTCACTTTCACTTTACATTTCTTGAAACCACAAACTTCATCAAGTTTCTGCGCTGCTGCTATCAACCCATCAAAGTCATCGGCATCCACTTTTTCGATTTTGGCAGTTGCACTTGGAGGACGCAGCTTTTTCGTCCCATTTTGTTGTTTTGTTTGATCCTTACGAGAAGAAGCTTTTTGAGATTTTTCAGACGCTTTTGCAGAACAGTCCCTTTGTTGTCGTAAACAATGGATTTCATGCAGACTAAAGTTTGCCCTGATTACGTCTTTGTTACAGTGTGGACAGACCAACTTGTCACTCTGTTTTTCTTTCTTCTGACTTGGGATCTCATCCAAATGTCCAGTATTTTCGATAACTACTGGTACCTCTGTGGACTGAACCGAGGTCTCGGTGGTCACGGATACAGACTGACCACCAGGCTTGGACACAACAATGAACCTCCCCTTATCTTCTCCCTTGCTCACATGAGTTAAGGACAGCTTTCCCGCCAGCTGTTAGAAACACAAAGTTACATTTTTACTTAGTTGATAATTCCTACATAGCTCTAAGCAACACAAAGCGGTCTTAATGGCAATCCTGAGCAAGCACTTGTGGTAAAGGAAGCAGTGCTGGAGGCTTGAGTGTTAAGAAATTTGAGGTACTGCATGGAAATAAATTTTCTATTCGTGGTACAAATGACAATGACCTTTGACCTTCAGGACTGAAAAACAATTGCATGCTTGCACTATCCATCAGGAAGACGTGTATTAAGTATGAGCGTTATCGGTCCATGGAAACAAACCAAATATTCTATTTATAGTAGCAGTGACTTTGATTAATAGAATCTTTCACCTCCTTTTGGGCGAGATAGGGGAATCTCAACATGCGGGGAAAGATTCTTAAGTTACCAAACACTTGTCAAGCGTTATGTTAGGCAACTTTAGAAGCTTCCCCTCAGGTTGAGATTCCCTTATCTCACCTCAAGGGAGTAGATTATTGAGGGAAGCTTCTAAAGTTGCCTAACACAAGGCTTGACAAGTGTTTGGCAACTTAAGAATCTTTCCCCGCGGGTTGAGATTCCCCCATCTCAACTCAAGGGAGTGAATTATTCTTTTTCTCTTACCTTGTTGACCTTGTCAAATGGAAAGTTGAGTTAAATGATCAATGCATTGTTGACATGATGCCATACAATTGTTATGACTGGGAAATTTTCCTGTTTCAACCCTAGGGCGGGACTAATATAATCTCTCACCCCCTTGGGGGTGAGATAGGGGAATCTCACCCCGAGGGGGAAGATTCTTAAGTTACCAAACACTTGGCAGTCAAGTGTTTGGCAACTTCAGAATCTTTTCCCCAGAGTTGAAATTCCCAATCTCACCGAAAGGGGGTGAATGATTCTTTTTCTCTTACCCTGTTCACCCATTGGTTATCTTATATATATATATATGCAATGTTAACTTTACAGGCTAAATGCAAGGTTGACGTGACACGTTGATTCAATTGTTGACATGACGTCATTCAATTGTTATGAATAGACAAACACCCGTCTCAACCCTAGGGTGAGACAGGGATATCTCTCATCGGTAAAAGGGTTGATACACCTGTCAAGGGTAGAAGAATAATGTGTCATCGCTGCTGTACCTACCTCGTGTACTAGCATTCTTTCAAAAGACGTGAGTGTTGGTGGGAATTCCATACAATTCACGTCAGCATTGGCAACAAACTTTTCAAGTATCTCACGATACTTTTCTGTTTTCTTCTCTGTCATGGCCTCATCACTGAAAAGTAGATTTAATAAACTAAATACTTCCGTCAGATTTATTGTCATTGTTGTAATACACATTGCGAAACAATAATTTGAAACCTTTTATCAATATGTCCCACACGATCCTTCAGAGTTTAAAAAAAAAAATTCTAACCTCTTGCCCAGTGCATTTTCAGCATACAAAAATATGCTTACCCATACACTACACAACATTTTAATTTGTCGGTATACTTTTGACAAATAAATTATCATGGTCTTTTGTAATGCCTTAGAAATCTCAATTCAGTCATCCATCTTAAGTAAAAATACACTGATTTAGGTGTGGAATTGACACGCAATGTATTTACCAAATATTTTTGTCATTGTCCCTGTTCCTTCGATCCCTTGAAGAACCAATGGCAGATGTGGTACTATTCCTACTATCAGAACTGTGGCTGTGTTTGGGTTTTGATACAGATGACTTCGGCCTGGCTCCAGATCCTTTACTCTTGCTAACAGAGTTCAAGGTCAAGAGGTCATCAAGATGTTCGGGACGAACACTCTTGTTGTTGAAAACTCCAGCTGAAAAAAATAAGTCACAAAAAGAGTTATCACAATAACTGTTTTAACAAGCATGTGCCCAAATACATTTTCATTGACATCTCTTAACTACTGTATAACATGAAATGTTCGGTGTGCATAAACATTCTCGGTTGCTATTGAAGTACGAAAATAAATACAACGAATTTGGATGATATACATGTCTACTGTTGCTTAATATAGGATATCCAAGAAAGTTTGTACCACGAAACGATCTAAATGGTTTCAAGCCACGAAGGAAAGACCCATGAACATTTTGTGTTATACAGTACATAATTATATTTAGTTTCTGATTTTTTTTTTCTTTTTTCTATATAATTGTTCAAATACATTATTTTGTCCCAGCCGCTTGATTACCAGTAGTAAATTTTTTCAGATACCTGTGAAATCATTATTGATTGTGAAAGCAAACTAATAATCCATGATCATCTTCAACTTCAACAATATTTCTGAAGTTATGTTAAATAGAGAATAATACATGCCTTTTTCCATATCACACCCAGTATCAACCCGAGACTGCAATATCGGCTGATATTGGTCGAGGGTTGATACCAGGTGTGATATGAAACAAGAGGCCCAATGGGCCTGCATCGCTCACCTGTTATTAATCTAACACTTGTAATCTTAAGATTTCATAAGAACCTATTAAAAGATTTAAACATATGACGCCTCTGACCTTGATTGTCGAACAAGGACATTAGGTTGAAAGTGGATCAAGGTCATTCATTTGAACTAACATGGTAATCCTTTATCCCGGCATGCTACAGGCCAAATTTCAGTACCCTGGCCCTTTTGCTTATTGAAAAGAAGTCGCTTGAAGATTTTACGACATTTGACC